TTCATATATTTAATAGAAATAATGAATTAGTAAAAACAAAAAAATGCCCCAAATGTTTTCATATAAAACAAGAGTTTGTCTTTGGAAATCATTTAAAAACAAAATATAACTCTCCATATATTTTAGTTTGTTTTCATTTTTTTTTCAGAGAAAGCTCCACCTGGCTTGATGTTGTTCAAGAAACTCTCATTGATTGCGATCGAATTAAAATGACTAATGTTGTTTGTCAAAAATCTCAAGATCAAGGTGAGAAATATTTCTTAAGTGTTTTTTTTTCTTGTTTTTTATATAGGATTGGGTTTAGGTTTATTTCGATTTAAACCTTAACCCTAACTAGAACTTTTTGTCTCTCTCTCTCTCTTTCAGTTTTTCAAACTACTCTAGTTGAAGGGATTTATGGAATTGAATCACTTTTTGAAAATTATCAATTATTCTTTTGTAAGGATGATAATATATTCATCAACGTTGCCTACGTCTGCGACGGAATTGCGGATTGTTACTCGTCGGAAGATGAACTCAATTGTTCAACTACCAATCATTACTCTCTCTTCAGGTGTCTATCCAATCACCAATACATTCCACTCTTACAAGTTTGCAATCATATTTCTAATTGTTTTGATCAATCCGACGAGTACAATTGTAGTAAGAGAAATGCTTTAATAATAATACCTTTTAATCCAATAATAATTCGTTAACATTTTTTGACCTACTTATTACATAGAATACAAAGAATGCTCAATTGGGTATGTAATTTTCATAGTTAATTCTCTATTCTTTCACGAATTTTCCTTTTAAAAAACAAAAAGGGAAAAAGCTTGCCTGAATGGAAAATGTATAAGTGAAAAGTTTTTCAACGATAACGAACGTCATTGCATCGATAACAGCGACGAAAATGAAGAAAATCTTCCTGAAAACGTGAATAATCTAGACGACTGTAATGTGATAATTTTCACGAATGATTTCATTGTGATAAACAAAATAATAACTTCTTAAAGATTGTAGAGATCGTGAACAAAACGTTTGCGATGAAAAGTGTAGGCCTAATTGGTTATTTGGCGATGGAAAATACGATTGTTTTGATAAAACTGATGAAACTCCTAATGCACTTGAAAATTATAATAAATCGAATTATTGCTATTTATATTATAATTCATTGGGATATGCAAAGTCAAATCTATTTAGGAGAATTGAATGTGAAAATGTTTCATGTCATATTGGAGAATACAAGTGTCACAGACTCAACTATTGTATATCAATAGAACAGATCTGTGATGGAATAAATCATTGTCCACTTGGCGATGATGAGATAGTTTGTGGTGAGTAGTTAAAGTTCATTTGTTCACTTTTCTCTTTCTCTCTGTTGGCAGTTTGGTTCAATCACTTTCATTCCCTATAATTCACCCAAAATGTCTCCCTTCCCACTCTATATCTTTTTCTCTTAATCATTCTACCTGCAAACTACCTCTCTCATTATACTTACTTTCTTCCCTTAATTACTAAATCATCTCTAAATAATTTTGGTTACTTTCCTCCCTCACTTGGTCAATGCTTTCTATCAGTCATTCACTCTGTCTTAGTTTTTCTACCAACTCCCTTTCTCATTCTACTAACTATCTTGCCTCATTTAATCCATTGTCCCTCTCTCTTACTCACTTTCCCTATCCACTCCATGTCTCATTTTACTTATTTTCTTCCCTTGTTAATTCAATTGTCCCTGTCATTCAATCCCTTTTTCTCTTTCTTTCTCTATCTATCTTTTTCTCTATCTTGGTCTCTTTTTATATATAACTTTGCCTGTTACCTTTCTCTCTCTCTCTCTCTCTCTCTTTCTACCACTCTTTTCCTATCACTCTCTTTTTATCACTCTTTTTCTATCACTCTCTTTCTATCAATCTCTTTCAGTCACTCACTTTTCATACCAATTCCCTCTTTTCATTCTACTTACTTTCTTCCCTCACTTATTATATCCTCTATCAATTTATTCCTAAATCTAAGTGTGAGTTTGCTTTTTTTAAGAGTCTTTTAAACCAAAAGGATTTTTTAAATGTAAAAATGGAGGATATTTACCTTACTATAAAGTTTGCGATGGCATCGTTCATTGCAAACACGGAAGTGATGAAATATTATGCAATAAATACGAAAATTCCATGAAAAAAATAAAAAATTGCTACGAACCTTCAACTTTTTCAATGAATTGCAATTTTAGCGTTTTTCAACCATCCGCCATTTTAAGTGAAATTTATAGAAAAATATTAATAGATGGTAAATTACATGGTAATAATCTTAAAAAATCTCTAAATCTGTTTAATTTAAAAATTTTAAATGGAAATTATTATAATAATTTCACTACAAAATTATTTCCAAATATAATTTATCTAAAATTATCAAAATTTTCACAAAATTTTGGGAATTTTTCCAAAGTTTTTACATCACCTCTGCCAATGTTACAATATCTAGATTTATCATTTAATCCTATAAAAACAATGGAATTTTTTAAGATATTAAATGGAAAAAATCTAAAATATTTAGATATTTCTTGGACAAAAATTTCAAAAATGTTTTATAAAGAATTGAAAAATTTAAAAAATTTAGAAATTTTAAAAATAAGAAATTGTAATTTAAAATTAATAGAAAAATTATCATTTAAACAATTTGAAAATAATCTTATTGAAATTGATATGAGTTTAACAAATTTACCAAAATTTTCATTAACAACAATTGCTGAAGGATTGAAAAATGTGAAAAAAGTTTGGATAGATGATAGAATTTTATGTTGTATATTATGGCGTTACGTAAATGAAAAAATTGATTGTAAATCAATTGATACACTCCATAAAACTTGTTCAAATTTAATAAGTTTTAATTTAACACGTTTTATATTTTGGATTCTATCATTTTTTGGTATTTTGGGGAATTTTTTCTGTATTTTATTTGTTAGCTTTTCCAGTAGTTTCCAGTCAAAATATTTCTGTTTATTATATTCCAGTGGAAAGCTTTTAACAGCAATTTATTCATTAATTATCTCCATTTTTGATTTACATTACGGCGATACGTATTTAAAAAATTACGAAATTTGGAAATATAGTTTAATTTGTAAATTTCTTGCGCCAATTATGGTTCCATCTTTACTATTGTCATCTTTAAGTATGCTATCAATTACAATGGAGAGATACCAGGCTATTGAAAAACCATTTGAAAAGCCATTTTTAGCGAAAAATTCCAAACTTTTCGCAATAAGCCTATTAGCTATTTTCCTATCTTTTCTATTATTTACATTATTTTTTAAACATTTCAATTTTAAAGATTCTTCAATATGTTTCTTTTTATATACAAAGATGACGGTGGCAACTGCTGATTGGTTTTTAACATTTACGCTATTTACAATAATCTTGCCATTAATCAAATTTCTAATATTATTCCTATATATGAAAATTGCCTATATGGTTGAATATTCAAGTTCAATGACTCGTTCTAGAGAAAAGAAAACAAAATCAATCCAACAAAGTATATTTGTATTATCATTTTCAAATATATTGCTATGGTTACCAGTTTCCATAGATGGTTGGTATTGTATTGGTTAAAGTTAGATTTTAGGGTTGGGGTTGGGGTTAGGGTTAGGTTTAGGGTTAACACTAACATTTAATATTTTTCTTTAATCCTCCATTTTTTTCTTCTTCTAGGATTTCTATCATTATTTATTAATTTAAATATTAAAAATGAAATCTATACGTTATTTCTATCAATTTTCCTTCTATTAAATTCTGTACTAAATCCTTTTCTATTCTATTCTGGTAAATTTTACCAATACATTCAATCTTTGAAAGATATATCATTAAAAGAAAGGTTAGGGTTATTTTTTTTTTAAATATTTGAATTTTTTAAAAAAAAATCTTTTCTTTTCTCAGATTATCAATAGAAAATCAAATAAAAGATGAAATGTTAAAAAAATGTATATATTTCATAAAAAATTCTTAACAATTAATAACAATTTTTTTTCTCCTTTTTTGCTACAGATATAAAATGTTTGAATAAAATCTTTCAATATTGTATGATTAATTCAAATTTAAAAGATGAATTTGAACCAATGGTTGAATGTAAAGATGATAAATCCATATTGGAAAGTGTAACTGGCATGTTTGATTGTTTAAATTTTTTAAACAATTATGATTTATCATTGAATAAGTCTATTAATTTGGATTCTGTTGTTTATCAGGTTATTTAAATAAACGTAAAAAAATTTCTTTTCTTTACATTTTTTTGAAAACAGAAAAAAAATAATAGTTATAGATTGAATTTAGGAAATGTGAAAGAAAAAACTATCCTATCAGAAAAGGAAGATGTACAAATTCTTGGAAATATTGTTAGAAAACTCCTTCAAAGAAGAGTATTGAATAGTTGAAAATATAAAGAAAACAAATGAAATTTTTGAAATTTTCATTAATATTTTCATTTTCTTTTGTAAAAAAACAAGAAAATAAATAAATAAATATATAGACAGAGAGATTTTTTAAAAGATTTAATATACATCAGTTTCTCTAGTAATTTTTAAATATAACTATAAAATAAATCATTTCCAATTCAGGTTAGGGTTAGATTAGAAAAATATAGGCACTATTGGCAATAAATATCCATTTTGAATAATTCCCTAACCATTCATTTCTTTTCTTCATTACAAGAGATTTCAAATATTTTTCAACAACTAGAGCAAAGAAATTTTTATTTAGATAGACTACTTACGCCATCTAGTGACTATTTAAGTGTATTTTGCATGTTGATATACTATTGATTAAGCTTGTATTGTATTATAATAAAGAAAAAATAAATAAATGTATTAATGAATCTTGGAGATATAAAAAATTCAGTCTGTATTTCTCTCTTTCTCTCTCTTTTTATGTGTCTCTCTTGTCACGATCTTTGATGATTTTCTCTAACTGAAGAGAAGAAGAGCAACAAGAGAAAAAAAACTCAACCACCACCTTTTTCACTCATCTCTATAAAGAAATGTTTTGCCAATGGATTTTTATATGGATTTTTCAAATTGTATTTTGTTCTTTTGATGACAAATATAATCCTGTAAATATCACTCTGAAACAATCAACTGATCAATCAACAACTCGCCATAGTTCACCTAGTTCATTGGCAGTTAATGGTAAATTTTCACCGCATCAAGTAGACTACCAAGTTTGTAGTCATACGCTTGTAGGAATTAATCAATGGCTTTTGATACGTTTCGAAAGAGCTTATATCATTCAAACAATCAGGATTTTGAATAGATATAATCATTTGAATAGGTTGCAACAACTTAAAATTGGTACTCTACTCAATAATGATATTGCAGTAGTTGACATTCATCAATTCCAAACATTTGCTTTCCATAATCCTGTTATTGGAGCGGCTCGTTCAAAAACATTCAATTATATTGACAAACCTCATTACGCCACTTCCGTTATTCTGTCTACGTTACGTAACGGTTATATGATTATTTGTCAAGTGGAAATATGGAATTTGGTGAATATTGGTAAAAATCAGTTGACTGCTAGCAACCGCCCAGCTGATAATACTCATCTTGCAGTTGATGGTGAATGTAATGCAGTCTACCGAGCGGCTGGTACCAGCATTCTCTGCCAATATATCAACCTTGGTGGAAAGTTGATCTTGGAAAGAAAAGCGTCGTCTTTGCAGTATCAATCGTTGCGTTAAACGGTACTTTACAAAGATTAAGAAATCTTCTCGTTACACTTTCCAACCATGACGTCATTCCAACGATGGAATGCGACTATTAGGGTTAGGGTTAGGAATGCGACTATTACGAAGGAGCGTTACCATTGTATACTACTATGAGATGTCCAAAATCCACAATTGCCTGTTACCTATCAGCTCAAATTGTATCGAAACCTGGAGGTAGCGACACACTAATCCTCTGCGAAGTTGACGTTTTTGGCTATAATCTCGATACAAATCTAAAGATTAACGTAATCGCTTATAACGAAACGGATTATCAATATCTCACAAAATTTAAAGAGAACGACTGTACAAATTTGAAGAAATTTACTGTTAATATTGCAGAATTTAAAGTAGCCATGTTTGAAATGGTATTCAAAGGAGTTGCAATTGAAAATGATTGCCAAAGCAGAAAGTTTAATGCCATTTCAACATTCATTCAAAATCGAAAATTAAAAGCTAACGATTGTTTTCTTCAACAAACAAACAATGGATACTATAAAGAAAGGGATATGTATGATAGTTGTCATTTTCTTTGCCAATGCAACTCCTTTCAATGTCATTTGTTATCATTGTGTACTTTGTTGTATTGTAATTGTAGGAATTTCTGGTTCGTCACAACTGTAATCGTCCTTTCCAATCATTTACCAACTTGCCAAAGTACTCAAACAAATAGAACCTTTAAAGTTCGTCCACAAATAGTCTAACAAAGGCAATTTCGGTAGAAATTAATTAACAAAACACCAGTATTTCGTCCAAAGAATATGTATTGAGTAAAATGAGCTTCTAGTTCTAAACAAGCTAGTTTAAACAACTAGCTGACAGTTAGAAAACTGAACTATCAACTGTTAATTTTGTAGGGCTTATATACTCTTTTAAGGGTTGATAGTTCACAAATTTCAATGTTCACAAAAACAAAAGTAACATTTGAAGACAAAGAAAAGTTGTAAATATGGTCATGTTTTTATTGTTTTCCTCTTCTAAATAATAGTTGAATTTCTCAGGTTGGAGAGTTGCATAAGATGTAACAATTTTAGTAGGACAAGTCCAACAATCAAGAAAACATGTAGATTGTATATTTGACCGTTTTTATATTCTACCTTAATAATGATATTCAATTGATTGAGTTAGTAAATTTAGCATCAGCATATAAGGAGGAAGTATATCTGATTAATGCATGTTAAAAAGAACAGTATTGTGTATACAATACTGTTGAATAGTCAATATAATCTAAACTTAAAATTTAAGCATAATTGATAATTAATTGAACTAGTTTTAGTTTGAAATCATAAATTTATAGATTAATAAATTGTAATATTAATGCTAGGTTGCAAATAGCAAATATTCTTTATATAATTCAATAGGTTTTATTGCTGCATAATGTGTATGCACTGCCCTATGCGAAACTAGGTCACTACTGCTTATCTTTATGAGTGCTATCTGCATAGTACAATACTGGTTCAATACTACTTCTCTATTGTAGAATATAGCTGATGAATGTATGTTCACACTGATACCAATCAAGTTGGATTGGGACAACTGAACAAGCATAATTGAAATACACTATATGTCTATAATTTAATGGAATTTATTGTGGCACATTGTTTATTCACCTTAGTTCTATGTCACTGCTTATCTCTACCAGTGCTATCAGCACAGCACAATCACGGTTTACACTACTTATCTATTGCAAAATATATCTAACCGATATACACGTACAGTAAGTATTAATGTCTAAAAAGTAAGTCTTGTCTTTTTTTTTCCATATTTTGGAATTTTGATATAATATAATTCCAGAAATACAAATGATTCAGTCAGTTCATCAAATGAACAAGCAAAAGTTTTTCATGAAGTTTTGCGCAGTTTGGAATGAAAAATGTGTTGTAATAGCTTAGCTAATATGCTGATTTTACCCTGTAGTCATGTGCTGACTTGTAAACAATGTCTATTGAGTCTTCCGAAATCTGAGTGTCCTTCTTGCAGGGCTGCAATAAGAGGATATGTTGTTATCAATACAGACTTAGATAGCTTAAACCTCCATTTTGGAAATCTTCACAAAATATGAACCGAAAATTATTTATTAAATTAAAGAACATAGATATTTATCATCAAAGTAATAATTCCTCAAGAAAATGACGAAAGTGCTATTAATAAGGAATCATCAATAGATAATGCAAGTGAAAGCAACACAAAATCAGGTAATTTCAATAGTTAAAAAATATTAGAAGCTCACCATGAATCATTTTTAACAGTTGAGGCTTTCTTTTGACTTTAACTCATCTGAATTACCAAATAATGAAAAAGAATTTAGCTTAAACCTCCATTTTGGAAACTTTGTTAGATGGATACCACTATGTAACTAATAAAGGAACAAAGAACATTGAAAAGATGGATGTCAAAATACTTACATCTTACTTAATACCAGATGCTGATGAGACAGACTATTGTAATGCCCTGCTTGGTCAATTTATAAGTTTGCAAGTTAAAACAGTACTGGTTCTCTCGAACACTTTTAAATGGTTTATTTAACGCAGAATACTAAAGGAAATAACAATATCAATGTTCAATAGCAGAGCAAATAGTTTGTAATAGCAGATTGCCAAATTACTAAACTGTCTTCCTATGCTGAGGAGTAGAAAGCTAACTAAATTACAACTTGGCTAAACTTTAACTGGTAATTAAATATGAACCTTACAGATGACTAACCAAGTCTGTGTTTGACCAAATGTTATTGTATATTAGCCTTCTTAAATGTTGAACCTTGAAAGATCCTGTTTCTAAAGATAAATATGAAATAGACAGTTTGGCAACTGTAAAGTGATGATTGGATATCAGAGGCAAGCCTCAAAGTATATAAACTCTCACTGTTCTCTGATACAATAATGATTATGGGTCTGGACTCCTCAATGAAGTCAGAGTTGGCCATATGCGTACATAGGAAGGAACATAGAACTGAATCTAGGTCTTCCTGTGCTACATCTTATGAAAGGCAGCTAACTGATTACTATACCTGCGGGTACTTGAACAGGTTACAATCTAATTTGTGTGGAACATTATGACGAACACTAGTAAAAGTCAAAGGCAGTCACACACTAAAGAGGCTTGCAGTGTGTGTGCAATATGAGGGTTGCCATTCTATACTGATTGTGCTAATCTCTAACCCAAAGATAACCCTAATCTACTGTTTAATAATAAAATTCATAGAATGCTTGTAGAAAAGGGGGTCAACAGAAAACGTCCACAAATGAGAAATTGAAGACAAAACTTTGGATTGAGAAATGGTTAGGCAAAAGAAAACAGCAACTGATTTGTATTAAGGAGGGTCTCCTCTGAGGGTTAGGGGTAATGGAAAAGGTTAGGTACAGTTAAGGGCTAGGTTAGGGTTAGGGTAAAAGCACTCATTTGTGGACGTTTTCTGTCATATCCGTAGAAAAGGTGTCTAATCATTTGTTATGAGTTTATTTACAAATATCATCAACAGAGTACACATTAGCTAAAACTGGCTTAGCAACTCTCTGGATAAACAGGACTGTTTGGTAAATTTTCTCCTGAAGAGGCATTGATCTTTGATCCTGTAATATTCATTCCAGTTTCATCATTTGCAAGAAAAAATGCTATTGCAGCAATTTCATCACTGTTGGCAAGCCTTCCCAATAGTGAACGACTTTCTTCAAATTGAAAAAATTTATCACTTTCTTCCTTGTTTTTAACATAGCCAGAAGAAAGGTAAATTTCTGTTTTAACAGGTCCAGGAAGTATAGCATTCACTCTAACTTTACCATCTTTTCCATAATCTATTTAAAATACAAAGATAATGTTTTATACTGTTTAATTTTGAACATTAAGGATAAAATCAGTGGTTAGGACAAAAACTTTTTCCTACCCTAATCCTAATTGAAAGTGTTACTAACCTTTTGCAGCCAGTTCTGTTGCTATATTCATTCCTGCTTTTGCAACTACATAAGGAGAGAGGTCAGAAGTCTGGAGAATAGAAAGATGACTGTTAAAGATATGATATTATAACGTATTTGAAATATATACAGGAGTCAATTCAGATGCACAGCTGGTGATATTAATAATGTTTCCTTGAGTCTTCTTTAGAAAAGGATAAGCTAATTGCATAAACTTGATTGGTGCTCTTGTATGTATTCTATACATAGCATCAAAATCCTCTATATCTGCTTCAGTAAAATGCTTTGCTATACCATAACCAGCATTGTTAACCAAGACATCTATTCTTTCAAATTTATTGATAGTCTTCTTGAAAACATTCTCAATTTGGCTATCAACTAATACATCACATGACTGGATAAGAATCTGTCGGAAGAGAAATGATACTGCATTCTTAAATTCAAATTACATTTGTATAAAACACTAGCATCTTCCTCCTTTAAACCTTGCTTGCAGCATAGCTGTGCGGTTTCTTCTAATTTATGCACTCGCCTTCCTAATATTACCAATTTATATCTGTGTTTGGCAAACTTTATAGCAATAGAATGTCCAATTCCACTACCAGCGCCTGTAATGATTGCTACCTTTAATGGTTCCATGATCAATCTTTGAA